AAGCTCATGGGGGATTCCTCTGACATTTTGGGTAGCATCCAAATTCATTTAAATGAATTCATTTACTTGTCAAGTCTGAAAACAAACCTAAATCAGCCCACAACCCCCTGAATAGATGTCCAAACTCACTAAAGCACAAACACGCCGCGTGGGTACCCAAGGTTCTCCACTCTACAGGGCCTGCCACTGCTCTTGGCCCGGTGTGCTCACCCTCCTCCCCAGGCTCCTCCGCGTGGACTTCCCGCGGCTTCCCGAACATGTCCCCATACCGCCCTCACTTCAGCCTCTTAGCTCACACTATTGGATCTGCCTGGGCCGAGTGCCACCATCTTCCAAAGTCCATGAGAAACACCAGTTTTTCTGTGAAATTTCGTCTAACTCTAACTTAGCCACCCCAACCAGATGTGATTTTTCCTTGTGTTCGATTCTTCCAAGGAAACGACTGTAGCACTCTTACTACAATCTGTCTTTAACTGTTACCTCTGTTTCAGCAGCCCTACTAGATTCTAGTAGCTCAGGAAGGGGCTGTATCCTTCTTCAACTGTTTCTCTAATATTGACACAGAGTTTCAGAATGAAGGGCATACTGAGTATTTGAGGAACCGAATAAATTATTGTCACAGGGATTAGTTTCTTGCTTTGTCCACAAGAAGAAGGAAAAGAGAACAGGAAATGTTACTTATTTGACTCAGCATGGAATTTCTCACAGAAACAATGAGAAAAAAAGGATCACTAATAATGAATAAAACAATAATGGACTTGTGCTTTATTCTTTTTGCCAGCTACAAATCTATCCTAACTGGTAATTTAATTTCTATGGAACCACAAATGTCCTTGGAATTCCCAAGAATCTACCTCCAAAGAGTTTCTGGAGTACAGCCAATGCTTAAACCGATACACTTGCAAATAATATTTTATGTTAGAAAGACTGAGTTTGCTTAAGTCTGCCTTCAGCCTCTTCTGAAATGACAATAGAAAGAGTGAAATGAAAGAGAAAAAGGGAAAGTGGATGTTCTAAACATCTAAGTTAATTTCTAAAAAGTAAACTCGAAAAGGAGAACATAGGCAAACGAAAAAGTCTTTGATCACTTTCTTATGCTACTTTTACTTGATGCTATATTTCAGGAAACAGCTGAAACTTTACCAAAGTCTTGAAAAGCTTTTATCTTCTGTTTCCATCTAAGTCTTTAAAAATTTTTAATTTTTTTAAAGATTTTAATTTATTTATCTTTAGAGGGGAAGGGAAGGAGAGAGGAGGAGAAACATCAATGTATGGTTGCCTTTCGTGTGTCCCCTGCTGGGAACTGGCCTGCAACCCAGGCCTGTGCCCTGACTGGGAAAAATTTTTAATTTTATTTTTAAAGAGGGGACAGGAGAAAGAGAGGAAGAGAAACATCAATGTGTGAGAGAAATAATAATTGGCTGCCACCTGCACACCCTCAACTGGGGACCTGGCCCACAAGCCAGGCATGTGCCCTGACCAGGAATTGAACCTTGACTCTTCAGTTTGCAGGCTAAGGTTCAATCCAGTGAGCCACAGTAGCCAGGGTGCAAGTACTGAAATTAATTTTTTCAAAGGCAATGCACTCACGTGCATTCATACATACCCAAGTGTATATATTTAAAGACAAACCCTGTATTTAATGCCATACAGGGCTTTGCTTACAAATAGTGCTGTCTTTATCAGACATATTATAAGGGCTGCTCTTTGCCAGATTTTGGTGGAAGATTATTAGGACAGATCTTAATACTGACTTTGACTAATTTCCCCATGTATATATTTAAGCAATGCTATATTTATTCATTCACCAAGTAGGTATTGAGAAATGTGCTAGGTATACAAGAGGTGAGTCTGACTGTGCCCTCAATGTCCACAGGTTGCTCCTGATTATACACATTCTACTGTAGGGAATGAACAATAAGCAGGTAACAAATGAAATGAGATAATTACAGGTTACAGTAAGACCTGCAAAGGAGACAAAATAAACAAGACAGGGAGGTTATTTAATAATCATCAAAGGCCTCTCAGATACATTTAAACCAAAATGTAAAAGAAGGGAAGGACCTAACCATGCATACTACCTGGGTAAGAGCCTTCTAGGCAGAGAGAAGTGGAAAGGTTCTCAGATGGAAATAGACTCAGTTTATCTGAACAAAATAAAAGAGGCGGTGTGGCTGGTTATGTTTTTTAATCGGTGGGTTATGTTTGTAGGTTGTGGTAACCATGTTGTGGGTCACTGCATCAGGGAGTCACAGGTGTTCAGAATAAGTTTCTTTAACAAACTTCTGCTTCAGTTCTGTGTACACACAAGTACTGGATTGCCATGTGGAATACATTTCCTACTGCAGGCAGTGATGAAATCTGTACTAAGCAAACACAGCAGGAACAGAGGAGGATGGAGGGCTGGGCAAGAACTGGGGCTTGCATGACCTTGCACTGTAGGCCACCATATAGAACTGGGATTTTTATTCTAAACCAAGTAGGAAGGTATTCAAGGGTTTCAAGCTGGGGAGTGACATGATCTAATTCAACAGGATGGTATTGCCAAAAGATTACTACAGTGAAGTTCAGAAGACTGGAGCACCAGCCCTGGCCTAGCCAGTAACACTAGAGACTTTTTTAAAAATTTATTTTTAGATACAGAACAAGGGAAGGGCGGGGGAGAAAACAGCAATGCATGGCCGCCACTGGCAGGCTCCCCCACAGGGGACCTAGCTCGCAACCCAAACATGTGCCCCAACCAGGAATTGAACCTGCAACCCTCCGGATCGCAGGCTGGCACTTAATCCACTAAATCACACCAGGCAGGGCTACAGATTTTTTTAAATCCTTACCTGAAGATATTTTTATTTTAGAGAGGAAGCAGTGGGTGGGAGGCGGAGGGAGAGAGGGATGGGTGGTAGGGAGAGAGAAATACTGATGTAAGAGAACGGTCTCAAGTATGCGCCCTGACCATGTGCTCTGACCAGCACTCTGACCTATTGCTACATTTCTACGACTATATTCTGCTTCCTCTCTTGGGCATAAATAAATGACTACCAGGGAGACACAAGTTCATGAGGTCGAGTTCTGGGTTACTTCTTCAAACATTATAAACCTTGTACCTGTAAGAGTCATATTTTCTGTAGAAAGAAATTTTGGAGTTATTTCTTGGCTGGAACCAGCTGTATTATTAGAAATGAGATCTCTGGACTAAAAGGGAATCAAGAGTTGCTTTTGCAACTCTCTAGTGCAAATTTTAGGATGTGAAGAAAATTGACAGGGAGGGATGAAAAGATTTACTGACCAGGGTTTTTTTTTTTTAACAATTTCTTTATTTGTTCTAGGTCATCAATTGACATAATCTAGGGCCGTGTAAAGTTGCTGGGAACCTGTACTTAGCACCAAAGTCAAGATGTGAAAGCTTAGCTCCTTTCATAGTAACCAAAATGACTATTTAATCAAAATATTCCTTGAGAGACTACTATATGTTAAACCCATGCTAGACAGTTTGATACATGCTTTTTCATTTAATCCTCCAAACCTAGTTATTTGCATTTCACAGCAATGGAAAGAGAAGACAATGAAGCTATCAAGTGTCAGGATTAGCATTAGAATTTATATTACACTTGTAATAAATTATCCTGCATGTTTTTAAAAATTACAAGGATTAAATCATCAGTTAAATACTGGACAACTCAAGTATCTGTGACATCTTGGCACAGAATGTTCAAGCAATAAATCAATTCTGGACTCGTAGGTACTCTGCTGGGCACAGTGTGAGTCCAAAAGATGAAAACTTGTTTCAGCACGGGAGGGCCTATTCGGTGGGTATCATGCTGGGTTGTGTGATGTGGAACTAGGCAAAACATCCCAGGAATTTGGATCACCAGTTCAGTACACGTAAACAGTATTACGACAGTTTCCAGGTTCAGCCTTGCGCTTGCTGCTGGTGAAATGTCAGCAGAGGAACCCTGGACTGGACAATATCACCAGTGCCGCGTGCCTGGAAAGTGTCCTGCAACTTTCATAAACCCGAGAAGCTAGAAACACTAGTTTCCAACTTACATGAACCCTTTAGCGAGCAATGGACGCATCACCTGCCGAACTGGAGCAGTGTGCATGCCATGTAACAGAGAGGAACACCTTGGAAACGTGCAGGGCACCGTCTCTGTGGGGGGTCGAAATGGTCCCTAATCCTTCCCCGAGATGCCCGCAAACACTCCTGCAAAGTTGGGGATAGTCAATGCACACCTGCCTCAACACCAAAAATGAGGTACCCACCTGTCACATACTCAGCTTCGAACCTCCGTCGGGTCTCAGAGATGAGCTTGGCTTTATTCTGAGCTTGACACTGCAAGGGAGAAAATACACGCTTAGACAGCAAGCGCACCATCCCGCTTCATCTCCGCTCAGTCCACCTGCACCTGGGAACGCCCCCTCCTCCCCCCTCCTCAGATGAGGATTCCGGGTCCCAGGAGAGGGCCGCCAGCGGTACGGTGCGATCAGCTTCTCACCTCGGCCATGGCTGCTGAGGTAGACCCGTTGGCAGTCTCACTCCTCACTTCCCCGGCTGCCGTCCCAATTTATCCTCATCGGCCAGGCCAGCCCCGCTGTAGAGAGGGAAGGGTGGGAGGTGGAGGAGGTCGCGTGACACCGGAAGGCGGGCGGAGGTGTAGTCAATCTGCCCAATCAAGTACAGCCGCTTGAGTCTGGAGGCGGGACCATGCCCTAGACCTGGCTTGCCATTCGCTTCTTGCCCTCGCCACGCCCTTGCGTCCCTTGCACTGCTGATCCACCCCCGCCAGCCTCTGAAGGAAGGCGCTTCCCCCGCGGAACTCCGCCTTAGCAAGCTCCGCCTGCCATTCGCTTTCACAGCGTTCCCGGAGGACCCGCCTCCTTCGCCTCCGTTTGCAATCTTCTCCGCCCGTCCGCACGGCCGGCTCCACCTTCTCAGAATTGGTTAGCAGCCACCAGCCCAGCCCTCCCAGGATGCAGCGCGCGGGCGGGAGGTTTGGAGCCTCGGGCATCTGGCAACTGCCAGGATGCCGGTCGCAGCGTCCGAAGGTAGGGCCGGCGGGTTTCACTCAGTCTTTCTGGAGGGGCGGCGGGACTGGGGTTGCTTCCTTGTCCTGGCAGGGAGGGAGAGCGAGGAGGAAGCGGCCGTCCAGGGCTATAAGCGTCCATTATGCTGTAGGGACGTGCATCATGCTGTGAAGTGATAACTAGATTTTAAGTGCTTGGTATATTCGGAGATATTTCACTTGAAACTTTCTTCACCCCTTTCAACATCTTATCCTCTTGGAATGTGAGATACTTAACGAGGAATATATCTCTGAAGTCTTTAAAGTCAAACAGTTATATAAAGTTACATGCAACTCATTTTAGTTTTGATTATTCGCAAAGTGGGGGTGGGTGGAATTTTGCCTCCCAGGAGACACTCCCAGTGTCTGCTACTGGCATCTGGTGGGTAGAAGCCAAGGGTACTGCTAAATCCTGCGATACACGGGACACCCTCGACAAATTAGCCAGCGTAGAATGTCAGTAAGTGCCAAAGTTGAGAAATATAGACTTACGAGTTACTGGAGCAAATTTTCTGGTTGGTGGTTAAAAAATGGAAAGGAAATCGTTTCCCATACAATGATAATGGCTTTTTTAAAAGTTGAAAAATACAAAGTTATTTTAAGAAGAATGAACAGTACCCCTGTTTCCACCATCCATAGTCAACCATGATTGACACTTTAGCATCTTTCACCCAGGCTTTTTTTGTATACACTTTCATAGAGAAGAAAACATTCTTTAAAAATTATTTGGCTACATCCTTCATAACATTTCAGATACAGGTACAGCTCGTTTTATTGCACTTCGCTTTACTTTGCCTCACAGGTGTTGCCTTTTTACAAATTGAAGGCAAGACCCTCCACCAGCAAAACTACTGTGACTCACTTTGTTGTGATACTTGCTTTCTTACTGTGATGTGGAACTCAACCCGCAATATCGCTCCGGTATTCCTGATGTCTTCCTCTGGCACCATTCCCCTACCCTGAAAGCCATCCCCGTCTTCAGAATAAATAGTCAGGAATGTGGGACCAATCTTTACAGCTTTGCTTTTATTTTGACTTTGAGTTTGGACCAGGCTGCTTGGATTTGAATCCTTACTCTGTCACTTTCTATCTGTAGCCCTTTGAGAAGATCCTTCAACTCCATGCCTGGTTCTCCATCTGTAGAATGGAAAACAGTGCCTGTGGCGTAAGGATGTTGGGAAGAATAAATGAGTGACTCCAAATTCCAGCAGTCTTGATACAGAGAAAGCACTTGGAAAATAACCATTGTAGGTAAACAGAAAATAACTAATGCTGTTTTATGTGTTTTTAGATAAATAATGTAGTGCCGTAAACATTTTTCTACATCTAATTCATTTCTTTTAACTAGGGTATATTCCACCTGTATTTATTCATTCCTCTATTGGTCATTGAAGTTTTTACTATTTTTTTTTATATTACACATAACGGCACAGTGAACATTCTAGAGCAGTGTCTTTGTGAATTATGTAGAATTATTTCTCTTGGTTTTAATCTAGAAATGAAATTGCTGGTTATATACATTTCCATTTATTGCCATATTGCCTTCCAAAGTCACTTCTCCCTTTAATTAAGTACTCATAATTATCTCTTTAACTGATGGGTCTCCCTCCAATCTCACCTGGTGACTGTCTTTAACATTGTCACCAGGATCTTTGTAATTCAGAAGTGTACACCGATTTCTATATTTGAAATCTTCCAGTGGTTTATCATTGCTAGAGAAATTTAGACGTGCTTAATATGCCATAGAAATCCTCCTCTGACTTAATGTTGCCTAACTCAGATAGTGGATCACCATTCCTCCACACAGTCACCTGCATTTCAGGTGTACTAGGTATTATTGGGAAAGGAAAACGGAAGATTGATTCTGGGGAGGCCTCAACAAATGACTTCTCTGCATATAGGTAGGAAAAGTTTTAACAGTGAACCTGTTCTGTAGCCAAGTTACTTTGCTTAAGTAACAATGTCCTGTGTGTTGGAAAAAGAACATTTGTCAGTACTATGCTCATAAGGTTATGTTTAATATTAGTAGATGAGATTTTTAGTTGTTTTAACTCACCTTTTTTACAAAGCTACTTTGTATTGCTTGCAATTGATACGGTTTCATAGACACTTTTTAGATTTCCTACCCAGATGTGGGTAGGAAGATTTCCTACCCATGTGGTGCTTTTTGGATCCTCCTGAACGGGCTGGATAGTAATTTAAAGAATTTGGAAATTGACAGAGCCCAGATGAATTTAGTAGCATTTAAAGGCAACAATGTATATTTGCTTAGGAAGCTGCTGGAGAAGAGGGGATGAGGATGGTAATTTTGTTGCCTACTTGTTACATTTACATTATCATGTATTGTTTTTCTAGTACACTCACACATTTTATATATAAAATATATACTGTTGACTTTGGTGTAAGGTAATATAGGACAGGAAATGCTCATACTAATTACATACTATTTTATAAATAATCTCTTTCCAAATCTCCCGCCCTGCGATCTGTGCAGCAGGAGGTAAAATTTAACTGGCTTGAGTTAACCTATTTTTTTCCTACAGCCATTGTTTTAAGGGTACTAACCAAAAAGTCAAATGACCAATAGGCTAGAATAGTAAGCCTGGTGCCCTAATAATCAGGGTTTGATTAATTAGGGCTTATTTCCATTGGTTTAAGAACCTCTAAATTGAACCTTTGTTTCACTTGTTTTCAGATTATTTCTATCTAAAAAAAGAAAATCCCCACTTATGCCATATATTGTTTGAAGGTTTATTTTATGAATGTATGTTAAATTTTATTCTTAAAACAGATGTTCATTAGTGTAAAATAAAATAGATATGTGTGAAAGTTTGAGGAAATAATTTATCTCTATTAATATATTAGTAGCTTCTCATTTTTAACTCTGAAGGTGGCTCATTTAAATAACATTGAAAATATGTATGTTTTTGCAATAATATTTAAAAATAAATAATGACCTTTTATATAACAGTCATTTATGTTTTTAAATCTACTTGATTCTCTACCCACGACAGTCAGTTTGCTTTTTTGCTTAGAACTCAGGCTAAAAGAATGTTGGTTTAGGATTATAGCAGGGCTTTGAATACCATACTAAACTTTGCAACATTTTATCTCTGCATCATTCATACGTTCAAAGCAATGTTTAGTGTCTATCATTTGAGGAAGTACAAGGATCCCGTGGATCTTTTGAGAAGGGTGCGGGTGTGCCTGCAAGGTTTTTTAAATTAGGAGGCAGTGACCAGATAAAGCTTGTGTTTTAGAACAATGACTAAGATAGCACGAATCAGTTGATATGTTGGAGCAGGGAGAGACTAGTGTAAAGGAAGACCCGGTAAGGAGCTGTAAACGTAGCCTGAGAGATGAAACCCTGAACTACTGTGCTGGGAGTTGAACAGACAGTTTGAAGATAGAGGGTTTTCTAAGTGAAGGAACTTGGTGAAATATCGCATTAAAAGAACAGAATGTAAGGGGCCTGGCTTTCCTAAGCCAGGACTTTGTCAGGGTTCCACCGAAGTTTAGTAAAGGGGGAGATTCTACTGACCTTTTAGCTATCCCAGTCTCCTTTCTCCTATCCACTTGGATATGAGTGAGTCAGAGCACTTGTGACATTTAATATTAAAATAACAAAATCCTTTCTACACAGAAATTTTTTTTTAGAATTATGAAGGAATCTGATGATGTTTTTAAGTAGGTAGTAAAAGGCAATATGTTCTTAGAGCTTTATCTCGGAATATATCATTTTATGCTTTTCCTTTTTTGGAACTCTTCTAAGAGACCTGACATATCTGGGAAATTTGAAATACGGAAAGTATTATTCATACATTTTGATGTAATATAATGAACATGTTTATTTCCTTTAAAATAAGAGGTAGTTTTATAAGTGAAAGCCACACCTTTGAGGTACCTACCTGCTTGTCCCGTATCTTTGACATTAACTGCCTTATAATACACTAGTAAGCCAGTGACATCTGCTACTTTGTATTATGGTACAATATCTCCACTTACTTCAGGTCATAGATTTCATGAAATTCTCAAAAACAATACCATCCATTTAATGAGACAACAACAAATGCCATAAGGGAATGTATTTGTCTGTTGCTGCATAGCAAATTACTCTCAAATTTAGCAGCTCAAAGGCACAAACATTTATCTCAGAATTTCTGAGACTCAGGAGTTTGGGAGCAGCTTACCTGAGTAGTTCTGGCACAAGCTCTCTCCAAGGAGCTGAGTTAACTTTTAAAGGCGTGATCGGAGCTGGAGCAGCTGACCCCAAGAAGGCTCACTCACATGGCTGTTGGCAAAAGTTCTCAGTGCCACGCTGTCTTTAGGCAGGAGGCTGTCCTTCCTTGCCCTGTGCCCATCTCCATGGAGTTTCTTGAGGGTGTTAATGATATGGCAGGTGGCTTTCCCCAGTGCAGGTGATCCAAGGAAGAGGTTGACAAGGAAGCCGTAGTGCTCTATGACCCAGTCTGAGAAGTCACACACTCATTTCTGCCACATTCTATTGGGTAGAAGCACATCATAATGACTGGCCCTCACTCAAGGAGAGAATTAAATGCCGCATTTTGATGAAAGGAGTTGCAAAGAATTTTAAAACCACAAGTGATGTGTTTAGAAATTAGACAATAAGGTTTGAAAGGAGATGCTGACTAATCTAGTCTGCTTTTAAATAGAATCTTCTCCAAGTCAGTCATTTCTCAATTATGCAGGCTACATTAAATTCGTAGATAAAGGTTCAATGATATAATACTTCTAATTGGTCTATTGGTAGATATTTATAATTAAAGAACAAAATAAGCCTTTAGAGTTTGCTTTTCATTCAACAGTAAAACAATATTATTTACTTACAAATGACCTCATTTTCATTTATTTCAGAAGTAATCGAATTTCCTAGTGTAAATGATCCACAAGAGAAAAGAGAGTATGAATTACTGTATTTTGCTGTATATAATGCGCACCCATGATTTCATACGTATTGTACTTGGGATTATGTAATCATTACACCCATGTATAATGCACATCTTTATTTTTCCCGCAAAAATTTGAGCAAAAAAGTGCACATCCTACATGGCAAAATATGATAATGAGCATGGATAACTGATAGCTGTTATGTAATTCTTGTGTCCATTATAATATTACTAACAGTGTGTTTTTTCTGCTTAGAGTAAGAATGGTGACTTAGGTCTCAAGACTGCATTGCTTTTCTAAAGTAAGATTTAAGATTTATTCCTGTTTACTCCTGTGAAGATTTTTAAAAGCCATGTTATAGCATCTGTTTTTCTTTCTGGGCTTTCATTTTGGTCATAAAGTCGACATGAGCTCCTGTCTCGGGGAAGCAGGGACCCAAGGGCCCGGGCTATAGGAGCAGTATAATTTGAATCGTTGACTGGGGAAACCAGATTAAGTTGGTAGGTTTGAAAGAGAGATAGAAGAGGAACCCGTAAGAACTTCCCTGAGCCAAAAAGAATGTCTGCTGTCACTTTAACAGAGCTCCACAGCTTTTAATAGTTGCTGTTAACACATTCTGTTACTGTTTGTGATGTGGTTATTTGCATTCTGTGCAAACTGTTTTTTATGGGCTGTGTAGAAATAATACTTGGGATATGTTTTTTGTTAAGTGTGACATTAAGACAGCATAAAGAGCTTAAAATGGTAACTTCATAAAATTCATTGTTCTCTGACCAATGTAATATTTTTCTAATCGAAACATGTGTTTTCTGCTCTGCCTACCTAATGGCCATTTTTCTCGTTTCAGTTTTAGGCTTTAAAGCATCGAATGGAATCCATTTGCATTCGAAAATTGGACCCACACAAAGACTTGATATTGTGGAATGATGAGCAAACTGGCGATGTCATGTGATGAGCAAGAAAGGCTCTTGTGTTATAATGGGGAAGTCCTTGTTTTTCGATTGTCCAAAGGAAATTTTGCAGATAAAGGGCCTGCAGAAATACCCGTATTGCATGTCAGAAGAATGGTGTTTGACAGAGAAACAAGTGCATTTGTTCAGAAGTCCACTGGATTCTTTAGCATAAAGGAAGAAAACTCTCATCACTTCAAAATCATGTGTTGCAACTGTGTGTCAGATTTCAGAACTGGAATGACCCTCCCTTGTATTATGTTACAAGGCAATGAAAAGAATAATGTTTTCAAATATTCTCTACTATTTCTTCACAGTACCAATAAATTTGAAAAGTGTTTGAGTTTTAGGCTAGGCCATGAGTTGAAAGATAGCATAAGGGTCTTGAATGGCCCTTTAATTTTATGGAAACATGTCAAAACATTCTTCTATATCTCTTCCCAAACTGGCAAAGTTATTACTATGTCTGCTAACTTATCATCTATTGATTGGGCAGGAGAGATTGCAAATGTAGGTATAGTTTTAATAGGACAAAAGAGTTGTTCTTTATCCGAGGAAGAAAGTACCCCGGAGCCTTCAAAATCAGATTACGCAGTTTGGAACACCACCTTTTGTGTATACTTACTTGAAAGTGAAGAAGTAATAAGTGATACGTACATTATCCCTCCTGCTTACAGCACTGTAATAACTCACGTGCATGTCTGTGCAACGGAGTTTGTCAACAACCAGCTAAGAATGTCTCTGGTTGCCCTTACTCGAAAGAATCAGCTGATTTCATTCCAAAATGGGACTCCTAAAAGTGTGTGTCAACTTCCATCTGGAGATCCCTGTGAAGTTCAACTTATGGATTCAGGCGAAGATCTCCTTTTCATTGTATCCTTTAGGTCCAGTGCTTGTGCTGTTTGGGAAAAGAACTTTCAGGTACAGTACTTATTCTCGTAATCATTCCACTGGTGTAGTCTTAGACCTAGTAAGCATTTCTACACTTCACAGTGTTCATCTTGGAGTCTTAGCATCCAAATCAATTTTTCAGTGTGGCACTTACAGGAAAAATCATTTATGTTACATTACTTTTTTTTTTCCATAGAGTTATCTGAATACAACCTGGTAAAGGTTTTGGCTTCCCTGGCTGGTGTGACTCAGTGGGTTGGGCATTGTCTAGCAAACCCAAAGGTCCCAAATTTGGTTCTGTTCAGGGCACATGCCTGGGTTGCCGGCCAGGTCTTTGGTTGGAGGCATGCGGGAGGCAAAAGATTGATGTTTCTCTCCCTCTCTTTCTCCTTCCCTTCCCCTCTCTCTAAAAATAAATAAATAAAATCTTTAAAAAAAGGTTTAAGGTTGCCATTTTGAGTCATAAAACCTCTGAGTTTGGAAATATGTAAATGTATGACTACAATTATTACATGTTTGTCTTTTAAAATGACAAATTTTATTAATATGATAATTGGATGTTTATTTATTTTAAATATTTTTATTTTATTTATCTCTAGAGGGGAAGGGAAGGAGAGAGGGAGAGAAATATCCGTGTGTGGTTGCCTCTTGTGCGTCCCCCATTGGGAACTGGACTGCAACCCAGGCATGTGCCCTGACTGGGAATTGAACCCCGATCCTTTGGTTCACAGGCCCGCGCTCAATCCACTGAGCTACACCAGCCAGGACTGGATGTATATTTATACTTAGAATAAGATTGTAAGTGGTTTGACTTCATAAGCCTTCTTAGAAAACTGAAATGAGTTCAACATTTTAAAAGCTGGTAATCATATATTTAAACTTAAATTTTAATCTAGAGGAATTCCTCAAAATGTGTTGATGTCCCTGAAGGGGCAAGTAATTGTTCTCCAGAGATGAACGATGTGTTAATCTTTTTAAACACTCACTTAGACATTTTTTTTGTTATATTTTCAAACTCAGTTGTTCTTAGCAAGCATCCCCATTTTATCCACATTTACAGTAGTTGCATCTTTGAATGTAAGGTTTGGAAATTGTTTTAAAATACTGTCTGGTATCAAGTGTTCAATAACAGGTAAAAAGGTGCAGAAAATACATAGGGAATCGGAGGGTTATAACTTTGCATCTGCACCAGCGCTATTTCTCTGACCCTGATTTTTTTGGTACACTGCATCCTCTTGGCTTTAGATGTATACCTGAATCAGCTCATTCAGGTATGTGATTTGAGTGTTTATAGTTCAGGATAAATAATCACTACTTGTCACAAATATCTCTTCCAGTAGTGACTTTTTTAGCATTCTATACCACTTTCAGAGTTTTTGTGCTACTCTGGAAAAAGCCTTACTTTGTGTACCCTAGCCATTGAATTAGAAGCTCAATTAAAATTTCTATTACTATCACAATATGGACTATTGATAAATATTTTAGAAAATTCGAGAGGCATTCTTTGTGTGAATCATCACTTTGTGTATGTGGAAATGTCAGGTTGAAATTGTGTTCTATCAGGCTTTGCCCTTGTAAATTACCTTTCTGTTACTAGGAATTGCGTGACTGAGACAGGATAATGAGAAGCTAGGAAAATTCCTTGGCCAGTGAATAGGGGAACTGAGACAGCGCTAACACAATAGCCAAGCAATTTACAGTGAGGTGCAGAAGGTCACCAGGGTGGAATGTGCGCACCCCCTCCCCATGCCAGGCCGTTGACAAAACTGGGAAAACAAGGACTCTGCCTGCAGGGTAACCTTTCCTGCCTGGAATTAGCCTCTAGGCCTCAGTTGTATTTCAGTTCTAGGCACTTTCAACTTGTTATAGCTAAAGGAAGATCATTTGAAAGCTATCCTGTTTTCTTTGGAAAGCACTCTTTTGAAAGCATGTTGTACTTTTATTTGAAGGTTATTTGGATATTTTCTGTCAAGAAATGGTGTGGGGAAGCATCTGGTATAACCCATAATCCTTTTTGGGGTCGGGGTAATGGAAAGAACACAAGTTAACCTGACTGAATCCCACCTGAGCCACTTACTAGTGTTACCTTAAGGAAAGTGTGTCATTTTCATGAACCTTTATGAAATTGAAATCATCCTGCTTCCCGGAGGGGGTGGTTAAGTGAAACAATGTTGGAAAGTGCGTGGCACAGTGCTTCGCACAGAGGAACAACTCAGTAAGTGGTAGCTATTAATGTAAGGCCTGGGCCAGGGCTTCTCGTCAATGACTTGGTCCTATGTTCTCTTATTCACCTGGATAAGGAAAAAGCAATTCCCCAGTGTCTTGTTCATTCTGTGGGGTATTGTCCTAACTCCCCTGAAGTGGACCCCCCTGCTTGGACACTGTAGAGCTCTGCACTCACATTACTCAAAGCTGGAGACTGTCAGGCCTCCCTGCCTTGAAATTGTGAAATTGTGTTCCACCTTTTTACCCTAGACCACCTTACTTTCCACAAGTTGCTGGTACTCAGCCGAGCCCCTGCCGCCATCTGCCTTAGGCTCCCTCCCCAGGGAGTCTGCTAGTTCTAAATTGTTTGCAAATGCCCTGTATCGAAAGCTATGGAGTTATTCCCGGATATCTGGCAATTTAAGTGCTTCTAAATTGCCTAGGTAACCTTGGAGTTTTGCAGCTTCTGCCTCTATCTTGGTGTTATATTTATACCAGCCTACTTTTGAAAATTGGATACAGCTTAGGATAAAATATTTGATTACTTTAAGAGCAGGAATAAATGCTAAGAATCTACAAATAAAGGAGGAGGAGAGTTAAGGGAAATAATTGCATGGGAGCAATTACACTTAGTTGAGCAGTTGAGACAAAGTAAATACATCAGGTTTTACAATTGAATGGAATTTACAGTATCAAGGGAAGAATATTTCCTAACACCGAGTTCTGAGAGGAGTTCACTGTTGTGGTACAAGGTAAGAGGTTTTGAATAATAAAATGAAGACATTCTCGAAAATCCAATGGTGTCTGTGATGGCAGGTTTTTCCCCAAATGGGAGGAAACAGCAGCATAGTCTTCCTTTGGGTTGGCTTTGGTCTTATCTTACCCATTCACCCTTTTAGTACTCCATTCCATAGAGGAATTAAGGCGGCTTACAACAATAGGCTAAAATGCAAAAAAGCATAAATTAGAGAAAGTCATAACTCAAGCTTAGTGTGTTCTCAAATCAGCCCTCCTAGGTATGATGTTTTATCCAATGACAGGACTTGAAACAGAGCCGAATTGAGAGAAACACACGAGTAGCTTTTCTCTTCCCAGGCTTTCTCTTGGGTAGAAGTTAATCTCTGCAAGTTTTGGCAAGAACTCTATTAACAGGCATTTCAAAATTGCGATCTTTAAAAAATATACGTGAAATAGGTATCACTGTGTTGTAGATGGAAACAGGTTGTAGAAGGGTGTGTCTGAGGCTGTAGCCACCAGCCACATGTGGTTATTCAACCTCTGAAATGTGGCTAGTCTGTATTGGAATGTTCTAGAAATGTCAGCTATACACTAGTTGTCAAAGACTTAGTAAAAAACAAAAGTAAAATATCTCAATTTGTAGTGATTATATTGAATTGAAATGATAGTATTTGGGATAGATTGGATTAAATAACATAACAAAGTTACTTTCACCTTGTTCTTGTCAGTGCTACTAGAGAATTTTACTGGCTATTAGAAAATTTTGTTAGGTATGGGCCTTGCATTATATAGTGTCAATGGATTGCGGGTGCGTGTGTGTACGCGTGCACAGCTCCGTGGTATCTGCATGCCGAGCACACTCTTATTACTAATACAGGCATTATTCATATAGTCCTTTATATCATTATACTCTGTGATATTCCTGGACAGGTGGGGGTAAGAGAGAACATAGGTTTACAAATAAGGTCTTTCCTCGCATAAGTGTAAAATCACTGCTATGGAAGTGCCTTAAAGGGGAAAGGTTGATATTTGGTTACATAGATTGAAGAGTCGTACTTATATTCTTGCTGTAATGCAAGCTGCCCTCCTGTATTATCTATTCTAATGGTGTAACTGTGTTCCTGGGATTTGTAGTGCGAGTTTTAGTTTCCCTGCCTGATGGAGAAGAGGTATCTGATCCCCATAGTGTTAGTTTTCCAAGGGACCAATCTGGAGGCTTTTAGCTTTATGGGCCTTTAAGAAGTTGCCTTCTATTTTAAACTTGGGGTCTCATGTTCTGGTTTAAACTGGACAAACCATTCTATTAGGCTAGGATACTTCTAGGTGCCCCACTATTAGGATCCCTTCCCTTTTGTGACTCTGTTACTGGTTTTGTTCTTCCCAACCAGAGTTTAAGGTATTCAGTTCATCTTGACTTTTAAAAAATTTTAAATTAAATGTATTGTGGTAATACATTGGCTAATACAATGATATAGGTTTCAAGTAGACAATTCTGTAATACATCATCTGTATGTTGCATTATGTGTTAACCATCCAAAGTCAAATCTTTTGTCATCCTGCCTCTTAAAGGTTATTCTGCTGTTAGAGCGTGCACTGGAACCTTCTAGTTACTTACTACAACTGAATTCTTTGGGTGGCCAAAAGAAGGCTTACAGTTATGAGTATGCGAAACACAGTTGATACTGTAAACCTACATTTCCCTACTCTGTGTACATCCATCAAGGTTTATGGGAGTGAAGGTTGTCCTTAAATCAACCATGTTAGGGAAAGAACCTTCGCTAGACTTTCTCATGAGAAGTGTTAGAATTTCCACCATACTTAGTCTTGGGAAGTATTTGATTTTACAAATTCTAATAAAATCTTCTTGCAGAAATCAGCAATGTTACAGTACCTGCACAAACATTGATAAGAATATTAAATTTAAGTACCTTGATATTTATAAAGTTATAACTCCTTATGGTTTTTGATCCCTCAATATATTTATTTTCCTTTTTAATGCTTATACTACCATTTTCATTACTTGTTTATAGGATTGATGATAATAAATGCAACTACATGCAACAAAAGGATTTAGTTGATTTCACATCTGATTTTTTTTTTCAATTCCTTCTTATACTCTTTCAGGTTGCCGCTCAGTGGGAAAAAACTAGCTTGGCACTTATAGATGACTTTATTGGAACTGGAAGAGAACAAGTACTGGTACTTTTTAAGGACTCCTTAAATTCAGATTGCCTGAGTTCATTTAAAATAACAAATCTTGAAAACATTAACTATTCGGTAAGTTCTGTTTACGTTTTATACATTAAGAACCATTTTAGAAACCTTGAGTGTTTTAAAGCTTTTCATCCACTGTTTAAATGTTTGTGATTTCATACTTAAAGAAACTTTTTGAACTTGAAAAATACATGAGACCTGGCTGGTGTAGCTCAGTGTGTTGAGTGTGGGCCAGTGAACCAAATGGTTGTGGGTTTGATTCCCAGTCAGGGCACATGCCTGGGTTGTGGGCCAGGTCCCCTGTAGTGGGCACGTGGGAGGCAACTACATATTGATATTTCTCTCCCTCTCTCCTTTCCTTCCCCTCTCTAAACATCAATCAATCAATCAATCAATCAATCAATCAAAAATAAGTAAAATACATAGATTGAACCTTTGAAACATTCAGTCATATGCCACTTAATGGTGGGGATACGGTCTGAGAAATGTGTCGTCAGGTGATTTGTCACTGTGCCTTTACATAAACCTAGGCACGATAGTCTACTACATACCTGGTCTACATGATACATAGCCTTTTGCTCCTAGACTATAAATCTGTACACCATGTTACTATACTGAATATTGTAGGCCATTGTATCGGATTAGTAAGTATTTGTATATTTAAACGTATCAAAACAGAAGAGGTACAGTACAAGATGAAAACTGATACGCCTGTACAGGGTACTTACCATAAACGGAGCTCGCAGGGACTGGTAGTTGCTCTGGGTGAGGCAGTGAGGGAGGGGTGAGTGAATGCGAAGGCGTACGACATTACTGTATGAGCACTGTACACTTAGGCTGCACTACATTTATAAAGCAGCATGAGATTAAGTCAAGTGCAAGGTAAAATGATGCAATCAAGAGATGAGGTAGACATGAGGTGTATGGAGCTGCTACTGGTGTATATAATATGACGTACTGTTTTACAACAGACTTTATAAGCAGAAAGAGTATACTGTAAAATCATAACATAAAGCCTAGTGCAGTAAATACACAAACCAGTGACAGCTGTGTATTGTCATTATGCAGTGTTATGCACTGGACCAGTTGTGTGTGGTATGCAATGTACATGTGCCTGTATTTTTATATGTTGGGTAGCACAATAGATTCGTTTTACAACATCACTACAAACACGCGACTAATGCGCTGCCCTACAATGTTAGGATGGGTCCAGTGTCACTAGGCGATAGGACATTTTCAGGTCTGTTATAATCTTACAGGACCACAGTTGCGTGTGGTCTGTTGTTTACCAAAATGTCATGTGACACAGGACTGTTATACATTGAATGTCCTTTCAACAAATGTCATACAGATTGACTGAGCTTTTCAGTATAGTATGTGGTGGTCACTCAAGTGACAAAAATACTGTAATTTGTTGCTTCTGAAAATCCTTTTATATCAATAAACATGGTAATATTGGATTAATAAAATGAAGTGAAACTGCTTTATTAAAACAAGCAATAGCCCCAGCTGCTGTGGCTCAGTGGATTGAGGTCCAGCCTAATGACCAAAGGGTCACAGGTTTAATTTTAGGTCAGGGCACATGCCTGGGTTGCGGGGCCAGGTCCCCAGTTGGGGGGCATGGTCCCCAGTGGGGCCTGCTAGAGGCAACCCATGGATGCGATCAATGTTTCTCTCCTTCCCCTTCTCCCTCCCTTCCCCTCTCTCTAAAAACAAATCTTTGAGAAAAAAACAAGTAACAGTTCATATCGTAAGATGTGGGGCAAAGGGAAATAATACCCCTGAAACCTCAGCTCGATATAAAAATGCCTCTTAGCCTCAATTTTTTCATTAGTAAAATGAGGGTAATTCTTATTTTCTCTACTTACGGGATTTTAGGGGTTTATAAAAATTTTGTAAGCTGATACTTTTTGAAGTACTATATAGATGTTACATGGGGAATAATAGAGGTAACAATTATAATTTTTCCTACTTATAAGAAGATGGGGGAGATTTATGTATTTACTCTTTTATATAATAATGTCTAACATAGAAAACTGCCCTTTGACTGCATAAACTTTAATTGTATATTGTTAATATTATGAATTTTCAATTTCAAAATTTCAGTTTCAGTCTGTTTTTTTTTTTTTAATTCGTTAGAGCGAAGCACTGGGTTACAATGAAGATGACTTAGTTGAAGACAAGCCAGATAATCGTTATTTGATGATTCCAGGTCTGGAAAGAAGAGTGAAAGTGAGTATCTATGTTTCCTTTTTGGTTTTTCCTGTTTTCAATTAGTGCTATTTTATTTTATTTTATTTTTATTTATTTTATTATTTTATTTTTTTAATAATTAATTTTATTTAGTTATTTTTCAAGTACAGTTTTTTGTCTATTTTTCCCATCCCAGCCTCCCCCGCCCCTTGCTCCCCACCTCCCTCCCATTTCCACCCCCTTTAGTTCTTGTCCCTGTGTCCTTCCTATTTGTTCCTCCAAATCCCTCCCCCCTTTTCCCCCTTAAATTAGTGCTATTTTAAATGAGCGAAAGAACTTTGAAAGTTCAGCCCTTGAAATAAACAACTCAGCAAATGTGAATAAATGGCTTTTAAATGATCTTTACCTTTTTCTTACCTTTATAGAAACTGTTATGACATTTTTTATAATTGTATCATCTAAAAATGATAGCTTTTTGTAGTAAGATTGTGTAAATTTAATGTCTCAGAAGGTAGAATATTAGAAACTCACTTTTAAAACACATTCTTTCTGGTCTGTAAGATCAGAATACCATGGAATCTATTTAAGGAGCAGCAAATATGATGAATCATAACATGTTCCAAACGTGAACAGGTCACCCTCCAGTTTTCCATATGAAATTCTCTACAAAAAGGTTTTCCTATTGTCGTAAGGTAATCCACATTTCCTGTAAAATACTCAGACTATGCAAAGAAATATGAAAAAGAAATGATTACCTTTGATTCTGCTACTGAGACATAATCAATTTTTACACTTTGGCATGTATGTTCTTGTAGATTTTTCAAAGAAATGTGCAAATTCACATGGAAAGGTGATTATAAGATGTTCTTTTTAACCTGCCTTTTTCCATTTGTAAAAATGTTCAAATGTACAGAGAAGTTGAAAGAACAGTATAGGGATTATCTTTGTCATCCCCACATGGATTCAACTGCTGTTACCTTTGGAAAAATTGTATATGCCTCATCTGTTTGTGCTTGTGTACATGTATGTATATGTTCTTGTAGAATCATTGGAAAGATGTGAATATCATAATACGTTACTCTTTTTTTTTTTAAAAATATTTTATTATTTATTTATCTTTAGAGGGGAAGTGGGGGAAGGAGGGAGGGAGAGAAACATCAATGTATGGTTGCCTTTTGTGCGTCCCCTGCTGGGAACTGGCCTGCAGGGAACCGGCCTGCAACCCAGGCATGTGCCCTGACTGGGAATCGAACCGCGATCGTGTGGTTCGCAGGCCCGTGCTCAATCCACTGAGCTACACCAGCCAGGGCATAATACGTTACTCTTAAGTATCTTAGCAGGAATCTCTGAAAATTAAGTACATTCTCCTGTGTATCAAAAAATACCATTATTGCACTTAGAAAACTAATAAAAATCCCTTAATCTTATTTACTATTCAGCCCATATTCAGATGTCTTTAATTGCCACAAAAAGGTTTTTTATAGTTACTTTCTTCAGAATCCAGTCACAGTTTACACTTGCACTTAATTACTAAATTTCTCATTGGTCTTTTTATTTAGTATAATGTCCCCTCCCTTATTTTTTGAATGACACTGATGAGGAGGCCAGGGTAGTTGTTTCTCCTCTTGTATTTGTCTATTTTCTAGGATCATTTAACTTTTTCCTCTACTCCTGGCAAACTTTTCTGTAAAAAGTTGGATTATGAATTATATATACTTTGCAGACCCTTTTAAAATTATTTGGAACTATTTTCATTATTAAAGTGAATTTGCCAAATGCTTACTGAACACATACTAAATATGAATGCGAACAACAGATAAATGAAATACAGTGAACATAGAACCATAAAGGGAAAGATTGCTTCCATTTACAGCTTTTATATTCTGAACAAAGTAAAATCAATGCAAGGACAAATTATGTAAAAAATTATAACGCATGAGAGAGGGTTAATTTCCTAATATAAATGTGCATTCTGAAATTGTTGAGAATGTAAAGTGATCCAGCCCCCTCAGAGTGAAACTTGGTGTAGCTACTCCAATGTGAATTGTACATATCTCTTTACTCTTATAGTTTTACTTCTAGAAATCTGTTCTCAGGATATACTTGCACATGTAAGCAATGATGATTTTACATGGACATTTATGTAGCATAAAAACAAAATCAGTCAGAATCAAAATATCCATCATTAGGAGTACAGTAAATAAAGGAATATATACCTGACCCATGGACTACTATGCAGCTGTGAAAAAGAACATGGTAGGTCTTTACGCCGATTTAGAAATGATGCCAAAATAATTTAATTTATGAAAGCATGATTTTAGAAATTCCACTTCTGGCAAAATGTCACCTAACTCATTTGGACCAACTCTCCGGATAATGTAACTGAAAATGATGACTGAAATATGCTTTAAAAGCTTCCGAAAGCTGAAAATATAAGAATAAATTATCCAGCCAAAGTCTCAAGGGTGGAACCCAGAGAGAGAAGCAGAACACTGAACTGCTTTTGCCCCAGGGGCATGTGCATTTCACATAAAGCAGTAGTGCTCCAGCCACTGGGCAAAAACAAACATAAAAGCCTTTCTCCAAACACAAATTTATTCTAGGCCTTCTGTCAATCTCACAAGTAATTTTTCAAAGGCGATGAGCCACCGCAGAATAATTAAGCACATAACGACAAAGTGTTATTTATTCACATAAAATAACCAAATAGCATTTCTAGAAACTAAAGATACATTGAAATGAAACAAAAAAACCCAACAGATTAATTTAACAGTTGAGTCAAACATAGGCAGAGCAAATGAGCAAGTCAAGACTGTTAGTAAAGTTATTTAGAGGATAGCACAGAGGAAAGGAAGGAAAATATGAATGAAACCTAAAGGGGAGTCAGGAACATGTGCAGGTGGGGAATCTAAGATAGCTGGGGTTCCCTTTTACCTCGGGGATCCCCATGTTATCACTAGCTCTAAATGTGGTCGAAAACATTCCAAGTGTTGGAAGGCCTTCCAGGGACTAACAAGTCTCTCCTCTCCCCAATTTGCACGTGAGATAACAAGTGGAGAGGCAGAAAGGTGAAGTAACTTGCGGAGGGTGAACTACAGTGCGTTCCCCTGTTCTTGTGAAATCTGTTTTCCAAGTGGTTGTTGGAGGGGACTTGGGGAGACCAGGACCTTGGACAAGCTCATGTACTTGTACAGGAATGTTCACCGCAGTGTGGTCTGTAACACTCCACAACTGGATGTAACCTCAAAGTCTGGCAACAGCAGGCTAGAGAGAAGTAAGCTGGTCTAGTCCTATGTTGGGATACTAGAGAGCAATGAAAGGCAGGAACTGCAGTGACTAGGGACAAATGGATGACCCTGAACAGAATTATTCCATTTGTTCAAAGTTCGGAAGCAAAACACTCAAAAAGCTAAATGTGTTCTTTAGACATTCATACAAAAGGGGGCAAAATTATCAAGTCAAGTAAGAAAGTTATCTTAAAGGTCAGGGCAGTGTTGTTTCCAGGGGAGAAAGAGGTTCATGGCTGGGGAGAGCTATGGGCAGCCCCTGGGGCACTACTTTCTGGCTGGAGTGTGGTTGTTACATGGGTGTTGACTTCATTATTTGTCTGTAAATGTTTCTTTGTATGACGCACTCTTCCCCGTGCTTGAGAGAGATCACAGTAAAAGAACAAAAAGCAGGGTTCCTATCGTGCAGTGTAGAATACCTCCTGTATTTGGCTTTGGGTGGGTCTTGTTTCTTTGTTGGGAGGAGAAAGAAAGTGTTCTCTGCTAGATACTTGGAAAAATTCTGGAACGATAAGCAATCTGTTGGCTGCACAAGTGGGACGGAGGGTCTAGGAAGGGAAGGTGAAATGTGCTTTTATGTTATTTAAATTTCTTACCATGTGCTTATTTTCATAGGTTTATAACAAGACTTCATAACAGAGTATCTGAGGGGTCTAGTGATTCACCATTCAGTCTTCAATAGGTGGCATGTTGAGGGGAGCAGGGAAGAGAGAACAGGATCATTTCTGAGGGGTCCTTATTTTCAGTCTGCCCAAATATTCCTCTCTTCATTCCCTCCCCCTCCAACAGTCTCAGATTTGCTCCATCTCTGATGAGTACATCTCCCTTTCCCTAAATTACTAATTAGCAAGTGAATGATGGAGTGTGAAGGATGTGGAGCCCACAGAACTAGGTCAACAGATGAAATTTCAAAATATCAGCCAGACACTTCACATTTGTTCAATGAGGTAAAATATGGTTCAGTCTCCTTTCACTCTCCAGCTTCTATTCATTGATAAAAAGACAAAGAATTTACCTGCCTCAAGATAGAATTTAAAAGAAAGGAATTAGAAAACAGGATGCATTGTTTTTTTCAATCTGGAAAAACATATTAAAAACCACATTAATGCTTAAACAGGCTCAGATATCCATGTGAAATAAACCACTTGTGTCAAAGTCAGTTCAGTGATGTGACTCTTTAAATTTTCAGGAGCAAAGTGTATTTCATGACTGTTTTCATCCTTCATGCTGACATCTATTTATCTGGTACAATAAAAGGAACGGGTTTCTCTATGTCCAGTTCAGAGTCAGTTTTTTTCCCACAGTAATTAAGAGTCAATCTTAGCGCTTAGTTTATTAGCACAAAAATAAATGTGTCACAGTTTATTATGTATTATCTTTAAAATTCTTTATAAAGGTTATGTGCACAGAGGAATTCAAACAGTAGCAAATGAAATTGACTATTTCTATTCATAATGATGCCTTTTGCTTTTTGAAGCAGAAATTACTTCAACAACAAAAACAGTTTCCTTGTGGGGGTAGAAGTATTGGTAGGCTTTGCTTTTTATTTGTATCAATTGGACTTAATCATATTGATTGATTACTTAGTAGTAGAAGGAATGCTAATACATTGACATTCTCTCAATTTGATATGTAAAATCGATTTCAGTTACTTGCTGTGTTGTCCTTTGTAATTAGAGACTTAAAATTTACAAATAGAATAGTTTTGGTCTGAGAAGTGTTCTTTGCTTTTCTATAGAAAAATAAATTAACAGGCAGATTTGAAGAAAGTACTTTCTGAATTAACGGCATGTCAGATTTCATTTGAAATTACGTCTCCAGCAATGATTTTTTTCCTACTTTACAGATTGGTTTGGCTTCTATTCAGGAAGTACAACAACATCTTTTGCTTAAGGAAAAAATTGTTTTAAAATCTTACAAAGCTTTAATGAACCTGCTTCGAGAAAAAGAAGATAATACATCAATTGCAGAGGAGGTAAATTAACCATGTGACCATTTTATCATTTTATAATTGAAACCTATTGAAGAGTTCATTTAAATTGGAAATTGGAATATATTAGAAATGCTCAGTGGATCACAAAGCAAAGTGACAGGGATTATTAACGGTGGGCTTTTATGACATTGAAAAATATGTGATTAAGAAACCAGTATTTTACCATTTACAAATTATCCTTATTCAGTAGGATATTAAAATTTCAGTCATCAGGAACCTTGGAGAATAAGTCCTTTTGTTTAAAAAGATTCAAATAAACTTTTTTATTTTTATAGCCTGAATAAAAATTACTTCAAAGAGAATTATATATTTTCTGACTTCTTAAACAATTACTGGACATTATTTAACGTTGTATTGATGATAACACAATTTCTTTGTTAGTATAATTGTTGTTCTTTTAGTTTCTTGTATGGTTCGTTTTCAAGAATATACGTTTCTGTAGTTAATGTCCCTAAACTGCTCTGATTTTTAGCCCTTGTGTCTGCTTTTATAATTTTACTCTCATTTTCCTTGTGGTTGACCATCATAGTCACCTCTTCAGGTACCTTGCAGTTATTCATGCCTGTGGAATGTAGAAAGTTACAAAAAACTGCTTCGAGCTCATAAGAATCGTTTTTATGCATGTTAGTTCCATACAGAGAAGTTACAAATAAATCACGAATAGCTGGACAGAGAGGAACTTGATGGTGCAGTTTATTCCCTCCGGTCATTTTAGTGCTTTGCTCTGCCCATCTTCAAGGTTGACCATTCTCGATAATGGTCTGTGCCTCGGGTCTGTATTTCAGTGCTAGTAATATGAGGATCAGGGTCCAAAATATGATTATGTTGGTATAAGAAAAATAAGAAAAGCATGTCATGTTACATTTCTCTATTACTCTTCTAATTTCCTGAGAAACCTCATGAAAGTCATTGTTAAAAGTCTCTGCCCTGGCCCAGTGGCTCAGTTGGTTGGAGTATCATCCTGAACACCAGAAGGTGGTGGGTTCGATTCCCCAGGGTACATACCTAGGTAATGGGTTCAGTCCCCCATGGGGAGGCAACCAATTGGTGTTTCTTTTTCTCCCTCCCTCCCCCCCTTCCTTTTTCTCTCCCTCCCCCTTCCTCTCTTTCTAAAATCAATAAATAACAATTATTTGTATATATTGCCCTGGCTGGTATAGCTTAGTGGATTGAGCGTGGATCTTTGGTTCAATTCCCAGTCAGGGCACATGCCTGGGTTGCAGGCCAGGTCCCCAGTCAGGGATGTTCTAGAGGCAGCCACACATTGATGTTTTTCTCCCTCTCTTTCTCCTTCCTTTCCCCTCTCTCTAAAAATAAATAAATAAAATCTTTGTAAAAATGTGAAAAATATATAACCCCTAGGGTGAGCTTTAAAAAAATAGCCTCCCCATTTCCCTTCCTTACCTCAATGCCAACAATTTTGCCAGTATTAGAAATGTTTAGAAATTAATGCACTGAAAGCACTGTGTGCAAGACACCGTTTTTGCCCTTTACATCGTTAGTTTGAAAAGCAATCCTAGCAGGTAGGAAGCACTTCTGCAGGTTTTGGGTGAATAGTCTGTGTCACATCTCACAGCTACTAGCACAAGGGGCAGATTCCTAGGAACATGTTTAGTTCGTTCTATTGGAAGCGCTCGTATTGTTTTTCGGTAATTACCCCATAGACGGGTAATAATAGACAGGGTCCAGCAGAAGTAACGCCTGCTTGAGTGTGGTAGGGTCATAATATGGGTGTCATAATTCATAGTTTTCATTTGAACATTTCAGCTAAAATGTCATAGGGTGTGCTTGAGTGTGATATTGTTATGTTGCAGAATCACATGCTTATGATTTTGTAATAAAAGAGTTTGTAATAAAGAAGGGGAGTTATTTGTGCCAGACCCTCTGGTAGATTAACAGTTAAAATAGAGTCTGGAACCATTTTGCTTTGGTTCAAATCCCAGCTGCATCCCTTGCTAGCTGTGTGACCTATGCCATAACCTCCCTGAATCTCATTTTTTTTTTCTTCAATCTGGAAAATGTAGATAATAGTACTACAGACCCAGGGTATTAGGGTTATTGTGAAAGTTAAACAAATGCACAAATGGCATTTAGAACAGTGTCTGACCTGTAGTTAGTGTTCAGTAAGTTTGTATATTATTACTATCACTGCTACTCCTTCTCTTCCTCCTCCCCCTACTATTTCTATTGTTATTATAAATCCATATGTGTATGGAAATGAACGAGTATGGCTTGGACTTTAAGAATAAAATTTTAGCCCTGGCTGGTGTAGCTCAGTGGATTGAGCACGGGCCTGTGAAGCAAAGGATCACGGTTCAATTCCCAGTCAGGGCACATGCCTGGGTTGCAGGGCAGTTCCCAGAGCAGGGGACACATGAGAGGCAACCACACATTGATGTTTCTCTCCCTCTCTTTCTCCCTTCCCCTCTCTAAAAATAAATAAGTAAAATATTTTTAAAAGAATAAAATTTTAGCAATAACTATCAGCCATCTAAAGATAGTTTAATCATTTGAATTTGTATAAAAGTTTACAGTTACAGGTTTTGGGTAAGTCACTGAGGAGATAAAGATGGGATTGTTTTCAACATGCCTGGGCCACATATTGTCAGATTATTTTCAAAACGGATTCTAGGTTTACAATCCTGCCGTGTTTCCAATGAGGCCATGCTTCTTGATCTGAGTAAATAGTTCATTATATATGTGTATCAAGTTTTATTTTAATGGATCATGCGTAGTCGATAATATAATATATCATAGGTACTGTATTTGAAAATCCATTGTAAGCTTTAGGGCCTGGCCAAAGGCTGCTGAACATTTTTTTTTATAGTTTTGCTACATTTGACAGTGTTTTTGTAATCAGTTACTTAAACATGTTTTTCTATAAGGAATGTCTCGTGACTCTTTGTGGTAATGAAGAAAGTCCTGTCCATACTGGTGATGGCAAGTTATCAGACAATTCTCAAGACTCAGAACAGCTAGTAGAGAAGATATGGCATCGTGTAATAGACGACAGCTTGGTTGTTGGAGTGGAAACTGTGTCTTCTTTGACGCTGTAAGTAAATTGTAACACGATATACCGTTATCTCGATTCTCTCGAATAGCACAGTCCAGCAGACATATAGTATAAGCCATGTACGTAATTTGCAGTGTGCTAGTGGCCTCACCAAAAATGTGACTAGAAACGGGTAAGGGTAATTTTAATAATATTATGTCCCAAGAATCATTATTGCTGAGGGGATAGACAATATTCTGTATTAAGGAGCATATTTTATTCAAGTCATTTGGGGGAGTATAAAATGTAATTTTTACTTTAGAAGTATAAGTATTTGCATTCTGAATTATTGCCAAAATAAAGTCTTTTAAAAGGTGAGTAGTTTTTTTTTTTTCTTGTTTTGAAAAAAGGAGGGAAAATCTGCCCTGGCTGGTGTAGCTCAGTGGATTGAGCACGGGCCTGCGAAATAAATGACCTTGGTTGGATTCCCAGTCAGGGCACATGCCTGGGTTGCAGGCCAGTTCCCAGCAGGGGATGCATGAGAAGCAACCATACAATGATGTTTCTCCTCCTCTCTCCTTCCCTTCCCCTCTAAAGATAAATAAATAAATAAAATCTTTTTAAAAATGGGGGAAATTTACTTCAAAAATAAAATTTAGGGATAAATATACTATTTTCTCCCTTTAAAAGAATTGCTTTCCTAAAGTCCAGCATATTTACAATGTTTTTGCTTTCCCATTTTAAGAAACAGTGTTAATACAGGCTTTTTAAAATGCAGTTGGCTCTTATGCTTAACTTACTGATACATTTCACATTTGAAATATCTCATAGAAAAGGAGAGAATAAATTTGTTGTTGTTGTTTATATGTCATTTAATAACCTGTTTGATTCTAAAGAATGAACTTCTAAGCCAAACCAAACTCTGGATGTTTTACAGGTCCCTGAACCAGGTGACTTTATCATTGTTAATGGATGAACCCCATTGCTCTAGCTTTCGGTTTATTAAGTGTCAAAATAGGCTGATCAAGTTGTGTAGGGACTCTTTCCTAGCCCCGTGCCCAGTTCCCTGTGAAATAGGATCAGAGGCAAAAAGGATCAAGCTGACTGTCGACAGTGAGGAAGAGGAGAAGAGCTTTGCTTGTGCAGAGCCATCTGAGAAAGAGTGTGTACAGACCATCACGGCTGTAACACCGCTTTCGCCGCTTTTAGCGTCCAGTGAGTTTCGGTGCACTCTGCTGCTACAGATCAGGAAGAGCGAAAACGGTAACTGTTCTGAACAGCATTACATTCCGTGTGGCCGACTTTTTTTAAGTCTAGAAGATCTTTCAAGCGGGAAGTACCTAGTGACGTTTCCAAAGAAACCTATAGGTAATTTTCGTTGGTACTTTATAGTCACATACCTAATTGAATGAGAAAATTGTAAGAACTGTCTTTATTTGATAATTGAGTTTAACGACAGAGCCTGTCATGTTTATCCTGTAGAACACATGGAAGATCTCTTCGCACTTCTTGGAACATTGCACAAAACTTGTTTCCAGATCGCATCAGCCAGCTATGCCCTGACTTCAATGAAGGCATGGCTCTTAGAACACATGAATTGTGAAGCAATCGAACAGTTCCCAGACATATGCTTTTGTAAAGGGCCAGAAGGTTTATACGGGACACTCTTCCACTGGAAACAAAGGACACTGTTTGAAGGGATTTTAATCGTCTACTCCAGGTAATGTGCATCAGAGTGGAATTGGTCTACCAAAGTTAATGTGTGGTGATGGTCCAACGGCCATCCCTGTGGTAGAGTCCTGTGCCATTGTGGGACAGGACCGCATCACTGCCTTGCGGCAGTGTCAGTGGACAGGTGGCCTCATTTAAAAACTGTTTTAATTTGAGGTTTGTGTGGGGCTGTTTTTATTTTTGGTTGATGAGAGCCTAATAATTATATTAAGATGTTCTCTTACCTCTCCCCCACAATGAAAATTTTAAAATATAATATTGATTTTATTAGTGAAAAAATTAATCAGGATGGAACCTCATGAGTATTAACTAACTGACTTGGTGTAGGATATGTGTTTTTGACTGGTGCACTCTGAATTCTGTCAGTGATCGTATGTGTTATTGATTCTATTGCTTGAGTATTTATACATAAACATTTAATCGATGACTGTAACATGCTGTGCACGACCGCTCTGTGCTCTCCTGAATTTTGTAATGTTGTGTTTGTTTGTTTTTCTATTCCAGGAATCGAACAGCTTTGTTACAGTGCCTCCATAATCTCACCAGAATTCTCCCTATAAACTGTTTCCTCAAAAATCTGAAGTCAGGAAGTGAGGATTTGCTAAGTGATCGTTTGGCATTAACTTTGGAGAAAGAATTGGTTATCCTTGGTTCTCTTTCTTCTGCCTTAGTTCAGGTGGACAACAACTTGGTGGAAACAAGTAAAGAAAAGAGCAGTGATGCTCTTGCTGCCTTATCAGACAGAACAGAAAGCAGCCATCCCTACAGAGAAGAGCTTCAGAGAGAAAAGCAAATGTTGGGAATGAACCTAAAAGTGAGTGGCGACCTTTATAGAGAAATGACTATGAAATTAGCAGAGGTTCAGCTGAAATCAGACCTTGCTGCGCAGAAACTAAGTAGTTAATAATTATAATCTCAATTTGATTCTCTTTGAAAACATTTTTTCCCTGCCAGAACGTTTTGCTTCTACTCGTTTTTATTTTACATTCTATGCCTCCTTTGTAAGAATAAAACATGAGGCTTTTTGTAGAATCTTTGGTTTTGATGATGCTCAGAATTGCATGCCTTAGAGCAGCAGTTCTGAACTGGGCCATTTTGCCTCCCTTCAAACGTTTTTCCTTTTCTCCCCCCACCCCCCTGTACCCAGGGGCATTTGGCTTGTTTGGAGACATTTTTTAATAGTCAGAAAGAGTGGGGAGGGTGAAGCAGGGGTGCTATTCACATCTGGTGGGTCGAGGCCAGGGATGCTGCTAAATATCCTAGTCTGTACTCATGAGCCCCCCTAGAAAGAGCCCACCAAAAATGCTGAGGTTGAGAGACCCTGCCTGAGAGTGACCACATGAGAGTGGGCACAAGTGACCTAACAGTATTTGGTCTAAATCTTTGAAAAATCTTCAACAGCCCTTTTGTTGTGTCCTGCTTGGTAAATCTGTCTTACAAAAATTACCTTCATGCAGATATACAAGGTTGTCGGGGTTCCCAACTTTGTGTAAAGACTGAATTCCGGTGGGAATTGCAATGGCAGACTTTGTGGGTGCGGCTGTTGAAACAAAGTGTCTGAAACTGCTGTTAATTTAAATTTAATTAGAAAGTTTCCATGAAATTGTTAAAGTCTATAGACATGTGACAATATTAGGGCATTACTCTTGAAAAAGCATCTCTCTTTCAAAGGGTTAAGCATGCCTCACAGGCCACTATTTTTCAAAAATTGAAAATGCCTTTATAAAGCCCCCTGAAATTCTAACTCTAGGCAAGGCTAAACTATAATATTTTAACTAAAATACTTTAAAGAATATGCTGTTCCTCACAGACTAAAAAAATTTTAAAATAAGTGGAAATTCAGTGGGGAAGTGATTTTTAAGGGGTTCAATAAGACATTTCAAAGGGGTAAAAATTCAGCCTGTCTCCTTTTTCTGGGGGGGAGGAAGAATTTTGGAATAATGAAAGGATGTCAGGAGAGGAAAAAATATTCAAAAGAAATGTTTTTGATCCCTTTTGCTCTAAAGCCTTCGAGTGAGATGTGGGAAATAAAGACGGTTATAGAAAGTGGCGTTTCAGCTTGCAGATGGGCCGCGCTGGCCCCGCCCCCCATGCCGTGGGAGCGCTTGTTGTTGAATGATCTGATGATGCGAATGGATTTTAGAGACCGTAGCTTATTTTCTTCTCTCGCTTTTTTATTATTGTCCACCTAATGTGCTAGTTCTTTTTTTAGTCATCACTGCAAAATGAGACAGCTCTATTTCCATGAAATGTTGATGGAAAATATTTCAGACCTTCTGGAAGTAAAAATGGAATACTTTGAGGATTAGTTGTAGAAATCTGGCAACAGTATGTGTAAATAGATATATTAAAACTGTGCATATCATGTTCTAAAAGAACAACCAAGGATGAAATTGAGGAATTCGAGTGCAAGATGGTGTCGTCAAAAAACTAAATAGAATTTAAATGTAATAGTTTATCCATAGGGGACGGGATACTAAAAGTGGCACTTGCTTATTTTGTTATTGATAAAAGCCACCTCAAGTTATTAGTGTAGATCATACCAAATAACCTCTTTACTGGTAAGTTTGGTACTTCAGTATACTTTTCTGCTTTTCACAAACTAGAAAAGCCAACATTTGAGGAATCAGTGGCCTCGCCGCTCCCTCAGGATTTGGTTGTCTGTTTCCCTCTATAAACAGAGCCCTCTGACCACTGCCCTCGTCGTGAATCTGAGTCCCCCCCCCCAGAAACACAGTCCTCCCGAGTCCACACTGCCGAAGTAAAATCGAGTTTTGTTTTTCTGAACAGAGCACTCCACAGTTGTCAGACACAGGATTTTCTGTTGTCCTCGTGATCCTTCAGCTAAGGAAATGTGTGCAAACCAGCTCAGGTGTGGCATCATTCAGTTTGATGACCAGGTTGGGGGAAGGAGGAGGACATGCAACATTTATTGACCGTGAACTATATGCAAAACAATAAGCTTGAAACACACACATGCACACATTCATGTTCATGTCCACATTATACATATATATGGTTTCATTATTCACAGCAAACCATGAAGAGTAATTATTAGTATTGTCCCCAATATGAAAAAGAATGTTAAACTAATTAAGTAGCTGAACGCAAGCAACTTGAACCTGTGCCCTGGTTACCGGATTTTTTAAATCAGCAGACCCTTTAAGAATTCTAATAATATACCAATGCATCTTTTATTGTCTTCATAAAGTTTTGTTTCTCTTCCTTTCTTTCCCCCCCCCCCAAAAGTTTGGACAATATCAGATATTGAAAGGTATCTCTTTTTTCTTCCTTGTACTCAAACTTGTAAAAACATCCATGTTCTTGCTAATGGAGTGACCAAAAGCTGTTTCTTGGATAATCCCATCCAGGGAACTTTGGACTTTCACTGCTAAAGACATTCCGGTGCAGTGTAGAGAATGCTGAGCCGTAAACAGCACACATCATTGAATCCTTCAAGGGTTCGTTGTGTTTTCTCTTTTAGAGCTTCCTCGATCTGTCACTCGAATCACTTACTGCTTTAACCAAATAGTCCTACCCTATTGTGTTGAGTATCTTCCTAGTGCTAATGGTGGTCAGGCCACTTTCTAGGACCTTATTTTGATAATGCTGTTGGTTTTTTATTTAGTAGGGTAGCAGGTACTATTCAGGTAGTAAATGGTCATAAGGCCAGAAAATCAGACACCTTCTGGGCCTGCGCTGTTTGCATCTTTCCTGTGCTACACTGCGACGAGCTACACTGGACATAGTACACACATGTATAACCGTAGCTCAACGTAATTGTCTTGAGTCCAGCTAGTAAATTTCTTTAGCATCTTTAACTATCAATTTCCCCACAGCAGCAGTGACTCTGAGAGCATAAGTAGTGTTATGTGCCAGTAAAGGATACCATTAGTAAACCCACTGAAGCAGTTAGCACTAGATACCCAGTCAGTCTGGAGTGGGAGAGAAGTGTAGGGCACTCTATCGATTGCCTGTTGCATATTGATTCCTTCCTTTCCTTGTACCAGAACTCTCATTTTTTTTCCCCTGAAAAAGTTCCTTTCCCACGGTTCATGTGATTGGGGGAATGGACTCCCTTCCTAGTTCCAGAAGTTGGTCCTGACTCGTCTATGCCAGTTAGTCTAAGACATTTCTCTGGTGACTGTTACTGGTTTGGGATGGGCATAGGACCTGCACTGGGTCCAGTTGGACTGAGGAGAAGCACTTAGTTCTTTGGCGAGGAAGAGGTTCCCTTCCTGTCCAGCTGGAAAGAAGTAGGTGGCCCTAATTTAAAAACTCGAGCCCTGGCTGGTGTAGCTCAGTGAATTGAGTGTGGGCCTGTGAACCAAAAGGTTGCTGGTTTGATTCCCAGTCAGGGCACATGCTTGGGTTGTGGGCCAGGTCCCCAGTGGGGGGTGCACAAGAGGCAACTACACATTGATGTTTCACTCCCTCTCTTTTTCCCTCCTTTCCCTCTGCCTATAAAAACAAATACAGTCTTTAAAAAGTTAATGAAATAAAAAGTTGAGTTACCTTATAATCACAGGAAATTAGCCTTTCTAATGAATCTTACACTATAGACTGCATGATTGTTTTATTGTGCCACAGATCAAGCCTAAACTCACCCTTTCCTGGGACTGCCTCTCACTTCAGAAAAAAATAACCTGTTAACAGAAATCAAGGTTTCTATTACTTGCAGGGAAGAAAATTTCTCACTCCTGGAAATGGGAAAAAAAAACCCCAGAGAACGAAGCTGCCCATTGTACACACGCAGTCCCAGGACAGGAAGAGTTTACGGCAGAGGCAGGGCGCTTGTGTTTGCTGAAAGGAGGGGAGAAAGGAACGCAAACCCAAACCCTCTGACTCCCGCATGCGCCTTTCACACCTTTCCCTGGCTCACTAGGCTTCTTTCCTGATTTTTTAGCTCACAACTCAAATTAGCTCATATCGCATAGTATTTTATTTGAGATCAGCTTTTTTTTTTTTTTAGTTTTTAAAAAAAATCTTTTCTCTCTCTCTTAGTATGACACTAGGCTACTTATTCAATTATTTCTTCCTCATTGGGTTAGAGGTATATGTCAGATTATTTAACCCATTTCTTCATATTTCCTGTGTTAGAATATAAAATTATGAATGTCAGGGCCATATCTTTTGTGTTTCTGAGATACAAGAAGAATTCAGACTTGCAATTCTCTTCTGACAACTGTTCTCATATCCTCAGCTATATCCTGTCTAGTAGGAAGAAAAATCTTTATCAATTTTGATTGTTCTACGAGTCCTTGTGCTAGACAAAGCTGATTTGATATTGTGGAACGGTTTTGGAGATAGACTAGTATTCCTGTATCAAAAGAGATGCGCAGCATTATTAATTCAGAGCTTGTAGCCTTTTCAAAGGTAATAAATATGTGCTAGAACATGAAGGATTGTATTTTAGTATATACTAGGGAAGCAAATGATAACCCTTTCTAACTTCATTCTAACGTCATTAAAAAAAAAAACAAGATTAGCCCTGGCTGGTGTAGCTCAGTAGACTGAGCGCGGGCCTGCGAACCAAACAACCGTGGTTAGATTCCCAGTCAGGGCACATGCCTGGGTTGCAGGCCAGGTTCCCAGTGGGGACCGTGTGAGAGGCAACCACACATTGACGTTTCTCTCCCACTTTCTCCTTCCCTTCCCCTCTAAAGATAAATAAATAAAATCTTTTTTTAAAAAGTGGGGAAAAAAAAAAACAAGATTATGGGAGTTTTCAATGTAGTGTTCGTAAGCCTGATGAGATGTTTTCAGGTTCAGAATGAGTAAGTAATTTGGGTATGTCAAGTGCAATAATAAAATCCTCTTTAAAGTTATCCAAACAGGAACCGAATATACGCTACTAACATTAGAAAGACTGTAACATTTGGGGGCGGGGGCAGGGGGGGTTGCATCCGAAGGGAGCCAGGACCAAATGTGCTCTTGATAGTCTGCAAGATCTTTAGAGAAAATGAGCAGGCGGGGAATATGTTGGGCCCAGGAAGGAGAGGCGGGGCTTGCTGTGCAGACTGGTCTGGAAAGGGGAAGAAATAGCCTGGAAGTATAAATAGTAGGACAAATAATTATCCACAGAAAGAGTTGAAGAAAATTGTCATCCACATTTGCATATGATGTTTCTAATGATGTGGCATGCTGAGAAATAGGAATAGCTCAAAATTATTGATAATTGCATGCCAGACATTGATTTCAACGCTTAGCCCATGTGATCCTTACAACCGTATAAAACTGTGCCACTAGGCACTGACTGTATTAACTTATATTTAAATTCACTTCAATTAAAATGTTCTTAGTTACACTAGCCACATTTCAAATACTGAATAGCCACATGTAGCTAGCGGGTGCCATTTAGACAGTATAGAATAGAACATTTCCATGTCACAGAAAGTTCTGTTAGATAATGCTGCTCTCACATATCCACTATTAACAATCTCTGGTTTATATATCAAGAAACTGAGACCCACAGAGGTTAAATAACATGTCCAAGGTCACATAGCTAGTAAGGAGCAGAGCTGAGATTCAGGTCCAGCGTAGCTCTAGACCCTTCGATCTTTCAGCACAGCGCTATTTGACCTATAAAGTCAGTTTGTAATAAAACACTGTATGCCTTCTGACTGTTTCATTTTCACAAAATACTTACTGTAAAAAAAAAGATGGTGAGAAATGTGCACTTCAATAAAAATACAAATTTGTTAATGTAATTGAAATATTGGGGGAATATGGACCATGCTGTCTTAAATTCTGTAATGAGCGAGTTCTTGGAGTTGATTGATGGCCTCAGCTGAATTTCATTTCTTGCCCACTTTCCTCCAACTGTATTTAAATACCTGAGTCTCTTCCTTATTTCCTTTAGTTGCCTTTGTCAGAACCATTGCTTTCCAGAATTGCTGCGTTTTCCATTGGTCGTTTGTATTTTGGGGTTTCTGAAAAGTAGTGGCTGTTCTTTATATATCCCTTAAGTAGCTTGTCTTCAAGACATCTCTAGGGGCCTGGAGATGCTCTGAAGTGTTTGTGATTGCCTGGCAATAACTACGTAGAGCTGGGAATTCCGGGCAAAGTTGTGAGCTGTCTAGTCTAGAAAACTTACATCTTGGCCACTATGTCACTTGGGAAGATAAGGAGTAGAATTCTGGTTTCATTTTTCACTGCTTGCATCCTCTCATCCTTGCAAATGATGGGCCCATAGAAAACATTTCATCTCTTCAAAGATGTCAGTGGTGTATCAAGTGGAAGGGGATATAAAGTTCTTTCATTTGGTCGTGTATTTATTGGTGTTTCACTGAAAACATTTGTCCTGCCCAGGGGTGGAAGTAGGTGCTGGAGAAATAAAGATACATAGGACTCTTCTTGGCTTTCAGAAAGCTTGCGGTCTTAATGGGAGAGACAATGGCACAGACTTGTAGGCTGCATAGAAGTAATTCATAGAAGAATTCCCAGGGTTCCATGGGAATACCCTTATAGGACATCATATCCAGCAGGGATGCCAACTGCAAACAGGAGTTCTGAATTGGGGGCTTTGGGGATCTGATAAAGGCCATAAGGATATTCCTGTTGAGGGTGTTTGTGGCTTAAGTGGTATAATTTGGTGGCATTTTGTCTGATGATTTGGGGATCATCTGCCAGACCTACTGCTTTCTCCCATGAGGAAAGGCCCAGGGGGAAGTGTATACACAAGGAAAGAGGGTCAAACCAGAGTACTTGGGATAGTAAAAAGGGGTGTAAAATATTTAAATCGTGCGATTTTGAAATATTTATTGATTGAAAAATAGTTTTTTATGTTGGCAAACCCATAAAATATTTATATTTAAAACTGTTTTAGAAGACAAAATCTATTTAAAAAATTAAAATGACATAGCCATATATTTTATTTTGTCAGTTGTATCGTGGAAAACACATAACCTTGAATTTATCATATTATTTTTACATGTGTAGTTCAGTAGTGTTAAGTATATTTACATGGTTCTGCAATATATATATTAACAAACTTTTCTCATGTTGCAAAACTAAAACTTAGTACCCATTAAACATTAGTTTCCCCCTCTCTTCCCACCAGACCTAGTAATTCTCAGCCATGGCTGTACTTAACAATCACCTGAGGACTTCTTAAGGGGGTTTGCCGATCCTAAACTTACCCCAAAGATTCTGGTCCAGTTGGTCTAGGTCGTGCCTCGGGCCTTGGCATGAGTTTAAAAGGTCTTCAGGTCATTCTGACGTACAGTCAAGCTGGAGAGCCGCCTCTTTCCAACAAGCAGCAAATCAGCTTGGCCATTTTGGGGCTCATAACTCAGCAGATTCTTTTTTTTTTTTTTGTCACTGGCATCTTTCTCTTAACAATGTAATCATATGCTGTTGTTTCTCAAATTTTGAAGTACGTACATATCACGTGGGGGTCTTGTTCAACTGCACATTCTGGTTCAGCAGGTCTGGGTGGGTCCTGAGACTGTACATCTAACGAGCTGACAGGTGATGTTGATGCTGTTTTTTAATAACCCGTGTTGATTGGCTTAGGCCTAGGTTTTGAGAGGGAGACTTTTACCTTCTACTGTTTACCCCTACTTAAGTGTTTTGACAGAGACATTTTTAAAAAAGATTTTATTTGTTTATTTTTAGAGAGAGGGGAAGGCAGGGAGAAAGAGGAGAGAAACATGCGAGGGGAACACTGATCAGTTGCTTCTCACACGCCCCCATCTGGGCACCTCGTCCACAACCCAGACACGTGGCCTGACTGGGAATCAAACCTGCAACCTTTCTGTTTGCTGGCTGGCACTCAGTCCACTGAGCCACACCACTCAGGGCTGACAAGTATTTTTTAGGGGTTGAATTGTGTCCCCCTAAAAAGATATGTTGAGGTAAAAATGTGACCTTGTTTGGCGAGAGTCCTGTAAGACGTGATTCGTTGAGATGAGGTCGTACTGGAATAGTGTGGGTCTCTAATCCAACATGACTGGTGTCCTTATAAGAAGATGTGAAGACAGGGAGAATGCAGTGTGGCAATGTAGGCAGAGATGACAGTTGTGTAGATGCAAGCCAAGGAGTTCCAAAGATTGCCAACAAAACCCCGGAAACTAGGAAGAGCCAAGGAATGGTTCCCTTACAGATTTCAGAGGTCATGTGACCCCGCCTGCATCTTCATTTCAGACTTCTAAACTCCAGAATTGTGAAACAATCCATTTCTGTTGTTTTAAGCTACACAATTTGTGGCATTTTGTTTCGGCTGCTCTCCAAGGCCAATGTAATGCTTATCTATGACATGAGTTTTAAAAACGTAAAAATCAAGGGTATTTTGGAGGAAGGAGGATAGGTCATTGTAAGACAGTGGTAAATAAAAGAGCTTAATGTTTGCCTAGGACTATAAAACAGGTGGTTGTTATTATTCAAGTACAAGATTCTGTCAATCTGTTCTCCTAAGTATCTTTTAGGTTTATCAAGCTTTCTTCCAGTTTCCTGGCTACCCCCCTATTCCATGGTACCGTTACTTCTTACCTGGACTTTCTCAGCAGCTTCCTAACTTGTCTCCCTGGTTTGTGCCCCTACTTTCTTCCAGTTCTGTCCTTGAAACAGCAGCCTCAGTTATTAAAGCTCAAGTCCGATCTGCTGCAAAGCCACGCATCATCTTTTTATTGTCTCGGTGTTCATTCAGTGGCTTCCCATTACTTTTAGAATAAAGAGCAAAATCCATATGTGCCATGTGAGCTATGACATCATCGAGGCTGGCTAGGATTCTGCTCCTGTCCCTGTGGGCACTGGTCACTAACATCCCGTCAGTTCTTCCAGCGCAGCGTTTTGCTGCCTACGTCAAACTCTTCCCATGCTGGTCCCATTACCCAAGCTGTTCCTCTCTAGTCCTCTCTTCACCTAGTTTCATACTCGTAGATCCTTCAAATCTCAGTTCTTAATTCTTCATGGAAACCTCTGACCCTCCAAGACCAGGTC